ACACATTAACAACATTATACAACACACTAATTTACTCTTTTCTATATTACGGTAATGCAGTTTGGGCAAATAATTATCCCTCAAAACTAAAAAAGATTCTCAAAATGCAAAAACGAGCAGTTAGAATCATCACATTAAGTTCATATAATGCAAAATCGGTACCACTTTTTCGAAAAACAAAACTGTTAAAAATTGTGCAACTTAACAAACTATGCATTAGCCTTTTTATGTACGATTACGCAAAAGGAAATTTACCTACCTTTTTTGACAACTATTTTACTTTGAATAGCGAAATTCATAAGCATAATACAAGAAGTACAAATTTGATCCATAAAAAAGGCAATAGAACAAATTATGGAAAATTTTCAATAAAATATACGGGAACAGAAATATGGAATGGAATACCAAAAAAAATAAAAGATTCATTTACAAAAAAGAAATTCAAAACGGAAATGAAAATATATTTGTTTTCTCAAGACAAACTATAACGTCATGTTATATAGAATAAAATTAGAAACAATGATTGGTGTACACTAGGGAATAAAAAACAACTTTTAGAGTACGATTATATATAATGTATTTAGTAATTGTTCCGCATATAATTTAACTATATGTAGTCCAATTGAACTGATGAACCGCAATGTTTACCTGATAGATATTAGAAATAGACATATATTAACATTATAGCTAAGTATTATCTCAAGGAGGACTACTCGCAAAAGCCTTTTGGGTTTATTATAGTCCTTCTTCCAAATATGTAAACATAAATAAATAATATAACACGGGAAATGTAATGTACTATAAGCATACTTGGAAATAAATTCAAATTCAAACTGTTGGTAGATCTGGGCAACAAGCATCCGCTATTGGAGACCACCTATTGCGTTTACGAGTTGATACGGATCGTGACTCGTGTTTACGGGCCGTACGAATTTGACTGATCGTGAAGCTGCTTCACGATCCGTATCATGTCGACAGTATTGGACATGTATGAGCGCATGCTCAGAACGGCTGTTTTTAATGCCAAGTCCCTCTATTTTATAAAGACGGAGGTTGTTCAGTCAATTCCATATAATAAAGAACTCCGCGAGTATTTGCAGTAGAAATACGAATATATGCCACCAAAAAATTTCGCTTGAAAGATACTACGTAATTGAACAATGTAATTATAGCCATAAATTATAAACTAGCCATACTCGGACAGTGTAAACTAACGTATACCTATATACAATATACTCGAACAATGTAAACAATGTATCACTATTATTAAGCCATATCTTTCGCCGAAATTATATAACTTCAGCCACTTTCAACGTTTCTTTTTGGTATTAGTCTTGTTCGAATCACAATCTAACACACTATTTAGAGTGTTGTGTTCAAGCTTGTATCTGCAGATTTGCATCTTTTATTTCGGTATTTCAAAATATCTAAATTTTACGCGAGAGCTTTGACCCCGGAGGTTCAAGTTCAAATAGCCAAAACAATGCGATGTTTACATCCTAGCACTCGGGAAACGTCGGGTCAAATTATAAAGGTCAAATTACTCGTGTAGCGTGATTTGCACGTGCATCGGGCTATACAATTTTTTTGTATTTTACCAAGGCAAAATACTCCTGTTTAAATAGAGGTGTAATAATAATAATAATAATAATAATAATAATAATAATAATGGTTTATTCACAGTATATCCATTACAAACAGAATGGCTCTTCACCTGTAAAATTATCTACATTATGCTAAATATACAGTAATCTATTATCATACAAGAACTACAAAAGTTAAGACAAATAATCCAATTGCAATGCCAATCGGAATCATTCACTGTTTTTAAATTTTTTTTTATACAACGACAGAAAGTTCTATAATTGTTAATATTCCTGATTTCTGCCGGAAGCTTATTAAAAATGGAGGCTGCTGAGTCTTGAAATGTTCCTGACTCCTTGGGAATATCCAGGACAGGTGCAGAAGATGATCTTAGACTATATGCATTAACGCAATGTAGCGATAATCTTAAATATTCTGGAAAAGAATCGTCATGTAAAGCTTTATATGCTAATTTTAAAATATTAAAATCCATCCTTTTACTAATGTTTAGCCAATTCAAGGTGGCAAGGTCTTCCTGTCTTGCAAATCTCCTTAACACAAAACCCGCGCATGCATTTTGGAGGCGTTGAAGTCGTTTTTGTTGGTATATTGGCAATGGGTGGAATACAGGACTAGCATAGTCAATTTCGGAAAGCACAAGGCTTTCAACTAGTGTTTTTCTCACATGGAAAGGCGTCAAATTCTTCAGCTTTTTCAACACTGCTAGTATTCCATAACAAGAAGTTAGCAAATAGTCGATATGTGAAGACCATGAAAGATGCTCGTTCAAATAAATTCCTAGAAGATTTTTACATTTTATTCGTTCAAGGAATTTGTCCCCACATTTAATACTAAACGGTACGGTCACCCAGATCATGAGCACGCGTCATCTGAGGTGTGGAAACTAGCATCCAGTCAGTTTTGGAGGAACTCAGTGCCAAATTAGAGCATTGAGAATAATCGACCAATCGCACTATAGCATCATTAACGTCTTTTACAGCCGAGTCTAGATCACATACTTTTGAATGGGTATAAAACGATGTATCGTCCGCATATTGATAGCAAGGTAGTTGAAGCTTTTCCTGTAAATCAGCGACATATACGCCAAATGGTACGCGGCCAAATTCTACGGTAAGAAGACTAGATTTACTATCGTTGATTTGTACCAACTGTTGTCTATTTGTAAGATAGTTAATCCTCCAGTGCAGAAATGATTTTGAAAAACCCAATCCATGCATTTTAGTCAGAACAGACCTGAACTGTACAGTATCAAAAGCTTTGCTATAGTCTGCATAAACCATTAGAGTTACCTCTCCTTTCTTTGATGCTCGAATCAACGCGTCTCGAATACCCAGCAACACAGTTGTTGTCGAATGCCCTTTTCGAAATCCAGATATCGTAGCTCCAAGAAGCGGCCTTTCTTCAATATACGCAATCATCTGATTTAAAACAAGCCGCTAAAATACCTTTGATAACGCCGGCAAAATTGAGACAGGTCTCTAGTCCGCCTCACACAAAGGTTGATCTATTTTAGGGATGGGCGATATTCTTGCAATTTTCCACGCTTCTGGAAAGGCCGACCTAGCAATACAATTGTTTATTATGTATTGTAAAGGACCCGCCAGATGTTCTCTCGCCAGTTTTACAAACTTAACCGGTATATTATCAATACCAGTAGATGTGTCTGAGCGGAGTTTGTCAATTTCGCACAACACCTCACGATGCGAAACGGGTCGTGAAGAGAATGATTGCTGTGGCGTTGTACCATCGGAAAGAGAATCAATGAATTCAAGTAGATCTGATAGTGCAGCTGGCTTGGTTCCTAATGTCCTTTCGTTCGTATTAATAAAATAGTCATTGAGTTTATCTGGATCTGCGTGAAGAGGCTTCTTATTAGGGTGGAGAATACGGTGTATCATTCTCCATACCTCCTTTGGTCTGTTAGAAGAAAGAGCAGTTTTAATAAAGTTTCGTTTTGTTTTATTAATAACAGACTTTATCTTGTTGCGAACTTCTCGAAAGGCCTTCCAAGAATCATCACTGTTGGTTTTGTGAGCTTCAAAGCGCAGTCTGTCCCGATCAGCCTGTAGTTTTCGTATTTCATTTGCATTCATCCATGGTGCAGGGGGGCGTGTTAACTTGCTTCTTTTTAATGGAGCGTGTCTCTCTATACATTCACTAAACAAAGTGTTGAGTGCATTTACCATGTCGTCGGGTGATTCTAATCCATATATTACGGAAAACGGTAGGTTAAGGTTAGCGGAGTCTTGAAGAAATTCTTCGGTTACAAATTTCCTCTCCAGTCGTATCCATTTGTATCTAGGTTGAAAACG